ATCGAGTAAGAACACCCAAAATAGTATACAAGCTGATTAACACGTAAGAATACACAAAAACTGAAAGATCTCACCAAAGCCCCTAAATTAGGGTTTCAAGAAAATCGAAGAGCAGCTCAATGTACAGTAATGGTGTCAAGATCGAGCATCCAAAGTATCAAGAACTCCCTCCAATCGCTCCGATACCACTGTTGGGAGGAGTTCACAAAATCAACTAAAGAATATACAAAACAGAAATCAAAACATGCTGTAAATAAGCAAAGAAAAATGAAAGTAAACTCATCTTTATTATACGAAGCACTCAAGCCAAGAATCCAGTACACCTTGCTTAGATTACTGAAGAACAACCACTAATCTAGTGCAAATCACAACCAAAGTGAGACTACAAGAAGTAGACACTCAGACTAGACCTATGAATCACAAGCACGAAATCCCTCTTAATACATAGCACACGATTCACACAAGAAGCATCCATCAAACAATGAAATCACATAAGATTTACAAACTATTGAGAGAAAATCAAAAATCAAATAAGCATCTTTGATTTCTACAGTGAAGAAGAGATATCGAGGAAACGAAGCAGAGAACACGAGAGAAAATGGAAGAATCTAGATACCAGAAAAAGTGAGTCTCTCAAACCTTAAACGCCCTTTTAAATGAGCTACTCAACAATCACCAATCCAACTGCGTTGGAGGCGACACGTGGTGATATCAGAGGCGTCCAAAAAACAGATAAGTAAAAAAACAACTTTAAGCCAGCCAACAAACACGTTTCTTGTTAAACCAACAGAGAAATGAGCTGGGCCTTCAATTCCAGCTGGGCCAACATTTTCAGCCCAATGGTCTTTTGCATCATTATGCCACAAATTCCCTTCAGTCATCTTTCGAGATCTTCGCATGGCAGAGTCTCTTGGCATTATGCCTTCGACCTATAGCCAAACCCCTTGCTGCCTGATGTTTTGCATGGAGTCCCTATGGTTTCGACGGACGAAGGCTTCAATGAGTTATGAAATACAAATCAAATACATTTGGGAAAGAAGAGCTCTACATTGAAACTATCTTATTAGCTCCTAAAAGGAAAATGTTTGTGTTATTTTAAACTCTAGCTAAATCTCTGTTTGTTTTCCCACACCAACCCATATACACCTTTTCCAATAGTAGACTTGATCGTCAGAATATCAACTATTTGAAATTCTTTTTGTCTTCTTTTTTCATGTTTGTATTATGTATTTTCACATGTAATGGATTTCAAAGGTAATACTTAGCAAATTGATTAACTATAAAAGGAAAATTTGCAACCTACATTCTCTAATAATTATATTTATGCAATCAAGTCTTCGGCCTTCAATAGAAAGTAAAACGATTCTCAATCTTTTAATTGTGTAACATCGGCCGTCTCGGTGAATATTTGATCCAATTTCATAATAAAATGACGAGCTAGATATGTGGAGCACTATTTTGAGAGTAAATAAGTAAATATAAATAATTTAAGAACCAACACTAGATAAAGTAGAAAGAAAATATAGAATACATCGACCCCCTATTCGAGTTTAAATATGTTATCTTCATTGATCATTCGTCACTAAAATTTTGATACTTCACTACGGTTAACAAATAAACAAGATGCTAAATGTAACATTGATTATAAATCTAAAGTATACATAAAAATTGATTACATTCGAGTGCTGTAATTTAGATGGACCGCGCAATTTGTTGATTTCAAATCTTAACTATTTCCATCCACTTTTGATAAAATTGTGTTTGTATCGGCTGGTAAAGGTGAAATTAAGCTAATTTTAAGTTTTGAGTGAAAAGATGAGTTGTAAGTGGTCTGTCTATAAATAGGGCTGGCCTTGAAATTTTGTGTGCTCTGTGCAACATTTTAAAATGACATCCCTTTCATGAAATTAAAAAATATACCAAATTAGGGAGGTTCAAAGTCAAATGGCTAACTATCAACATTATCCCAAGGAAGAAAACCCTCTAGAAAGGGAAGTTGGGGTTGATACATCTACCAACTATGCCATCGATCAACCCAATGAGGTTCCATTCGAATTTCCTCCAAATTATGAACCGAAAGACATGCCTCAAAGATCCATAATTGTCTTCGACGGATGAAGCCCTGGAAGGCCTAGAAATAGGCAGGCTCACTCCCTTTGCACATAGAAATAGGCAGCTGGGACCACCTTAGTTTGGAAGACAAAATAAACCCACTTATGACAACCTGCCTCAGAATCCTCCACCTAGGAATAGGCGTCAGAGGAGGGCAAAATAGGCTAAGAATCAAGCAAGACCATTCCAACCACCTCGGGGACAACAAGTCAAAGAAGATGAAGACTAACGAACAACAATAACATCATCCCAAGGGGAAAAATTACTCGGCAGTGGAGATGGTGACGGTACCATTAACTGCTCATCATTTTATGGAGTTTTTGGTGGTGGACAACTGCTATGCTTACCATGGAGTGCTAGGAAGGCCAGCATTAAAGAAATTATGGGTTGTTATGTCCATCCACCGCTTGTGTATGAAGTTCATTATGGAAAGTGGCATCGCCACTGTTAGATGCGATCAAATGAGTGCAAGGAAGTGATATTTAAACTCCCTCAAAAAGGTCGAACTTAGGGGCGTCAATGTAATTTTGATGGACATTGACATGGATGACGTCCCCGAACAAAGACAAAACTTTGAACAAGGGAAAGACGTAGGAATGGTTGACACCTCTAAAGAAGAGACTTTTTTTAAGTGATAACATCCCCTGAAGAAGGAAGAACTGCTGAAGAAGTGACTAAATTTGATGAACTGGATCCTCGCATCATCAATTTCGGCCTCAAACAGCCCCATTGGAAGAACTGGAGAGTTTTATAATGGATCCTCAGGACCCTCCAAATCCTTGTTGGTGGAAAAAGACCTGCTAGTGGAGGTTAAGGAAAAATCAGAAATGCTTCTTACGCAAAAACTTGGATATCTTTGCTTGGAAACATGTGACATGGTTGGCATCGACCCAAAGGTTAGTTGTCACCATTTGTAGGTGGGAAAAGATCTGCATGCGGAGGCTAAGGAAAAACTGAAATACTTCTTACGCAAAAACTTTGATATCTTTGCTTGGAAATATGAGGACATAGTTGGCATCGACCCAAAGGTTAGTTGTCACTAATTGAAGATTGATCCTAAAACTGTCTCTCATCGGCATAAAAAGAGGGCTCTCAACCCAGAAAGGTACGAGGCCTTGAAGGATGAGGTGAAGAAGTTGATTGACAATCATTTCATACGAAAATCAACATATCCGAAGTAGGTATTTAACTCTGTCCTGGTTAAAAAGCATAATGGTAAGTAAAGAGTGTGTGTATTAGGGACGAGCTGGGTAGGTGTCAGCCCGTACGACCTAAGTACAACTCTAAAGAAATGATGAAGGGGCAAACGAAGTCCCCCTTCAGAAGAAACTCACCGATGGCGATGGACCCCTGCCTAGGAAAGCAGGCTTGCTCGTAAGGAGAGGGATCTAGAAGTTCGATATTATAGGGAACGCAATATTTCTCCCTTATATCTTCAAGGTCGACTGCAATTACCTTTGAAAATATTTTGACTGCCCCCAACCCGCATCATAATCTACTCGATCCTCCCTTGTGGGCAAGACACTCTGACCAGCGCTAATGGCTTGGACGAGGTTAATAGTATTGGTAATTGTAACCCCTATCTCAGAGGCTACGGTGCAAATGTCTAAGCCCCCTCTATCAAAAATATGAAAAAGTGATGAAGTCTAAAATCAAAGAAGTTTGAAATACTTACGAAATGGAACAAAAAAATCACTAAAAAAGAGATGAGAGTTTGAGAAAGTGGTCGGGAATCATGAAAGTGATCGGAATAATCAAAGTGGACTTGACATCTTTTGTCCATGGGCCATTACGAAAAACGGGGTCAACAAATGCTAACATTGACTTTAAACCAATCTACCCAGACTGCCTTAGTTTCTCTCTTATGAACCATCATATACATTTTATCTTACTTCTCTGGAGGTAGATTTACATTTCCTGGATTACATAGCATCATGGCATCCACTTTGAGATGGTCAATTTTGACTATTTTTTGAACTTTGAGTTCATGTATGATTTAGCTAATGAGTAATGCTAAGTAGCTTCATTGGGGTTACAATCTCAATTTAGGTGACGCTAAATGATAGGTTAAATGAAAAGTGAAATTAAATAAGACTTATTTAATTTTACATATCATTTAATGTCATATTAAAGCCACGTAGACTGGAGCTGTAATTTCGATGGAGCTAAATTGCATTACTGTATGTTAAAAGGGGGTAACATTCATGTATGTTTGTTCATGTACCATTCACGTAATTAATTGTTAAAGTGAATTATTCCATTATTGTCACATAGGCATTCCGTTAACTGACTGAAGTTAATTCATTTATGAATTGTTGACCTAACTCATGCATAGTGAATCGACCCTCGATCAAGAAACAATGGTCGTCCCCTTTACTATTTTCACACGTGAGATTGACTCAAGGATCCAAGATGACTCCAGTCTAGCTGTCATGATCTTCGAGGTGGACATGTCAAAACCATTATGGGGTGCAAACTTAGCTGACTTGCTCGATGAGATGAGGCACAAGCCGTACTAGGTCTAGATAACACGGGCCAGTCGACCAGCAAAGGCTAGCCAGTCACAGGTGAAGCCGATCAGGGCGGAAATACTAGAAGAGCCAAATAGCAATTATAAATTACCAGCTTCAAACTGATAAAACTGGATGTTTCGCGAATGCTGGAGAAAACCAGCAAACTGTATGTGAAATGGTGGTTGAGAGTGACGTGTTCACCAATCCAGACCATTCTTCAACATTCATGTATCCACCAGCACCAGGCCCACCCCCACCCTCCTCTTTTCTGCCTATAAAATCGTGGATCCCAACCCCTCCAACATACCCATAACACATATCCATCGCCATTCCCTTTATCTGTGTTCTGCAGTTCGTGTTTTAAGGTTACTATAAATGGCTACTAAGTTCTTGGCACCTGCCTCCTCTTCTTTAGCCTCAAACAACGTTGTCAGGGCAAATAGTTTCGTGTTTCTCCCTTCTGCCAGCGATGTTAGAAGGCCGGCATATGTGAGAGTTCAGGCAACCTGGAACAACAAAGATACAGCAGTCGATGTGCAGCATGGCGGCAGCACCAACCAACGCGTCGCTGTGCAATCCCGGCCCCGGAGGTTGGCTATGGACATCTCTCCTTTCAGTAAGTCTTTAGATTTATTTGTTTCCTCCATTGATTTAGTCTCTTTAATAAAACTATGGATGTCAGGATGGTTGGAGCCTCTGTCTTCAACGAGGACAATGCGCCAAATGTTGAACATGATGGATCGGCTCTTCCAGGACATGGCATCATTCCCTGGTCAGAGCCGGGCCATGGGGGAAGCATACTCGCCATGGGATATCAAAGATGAAGAAAATGAAATCAGAATGCGCTTTGACGTGCCAGGACTCTCCAAAGAAGATGTCAAAGTCTCTGTGGAGGACAACATACTCGTCATCAAAGGCCAGCACAAGAAGGAAGAAGAGAAAGATGAGGGGTGGTCAAGCAGGGGGTACAGTTCCTATGACACCAGGCTGCGTCTTCCTGATAATTGTGAGAAGGATAAAGTGAAGGCAGAATTGAAGAATGGGGTTCTCTACATTTCCATTCCTAAGACCAAAGTAGAGAAGAAAATGATTGATGTGGAGATTAATTGAAAAATTCTAAGTGCTTTCTAACGAAGTGTTTTGGTTAAAAAGCTTAAAGAACAAATATCGATGGCTGAACTCATCCCATTTTACACCTCTAGTGTCCACCGCAACAATCAATAACTTCCTCTCATTCACAAAGGTATCAAAGCTACAGATACAATAACAACAGTAAACAACATCAGAGTTGTCAAGTCAAATAAATACAACACGAATTTAAGCTTGAAGAAGCCATCTCAGAAATCAGACAAAACAGAGCAAGAACCAAGAAAATTTTTCCAACTATTGTATCAAAAAATCCACTACATATAACCATATCTCTGTTAAACACGATCGATTAAGAAAATTTTCCTTTCAGACAGGTAGTAAAACACGCTGAAACAGGTATGGAAAAATTCATCACGGTTGATCGTTGACAGAAAAGACAAGAAGAAATTTGTGAAATAAGATTTTCTACAAATTAGAAAGATGAAACAGTATCAGTACATTGAGGCGCTGCCTATAGAACTTACTTAGCATAATGTGCAACATGATTTAAATCAACTTAAACTTCGATAGGTCCAACTCTGCAAGATACAACCATGAAAACCCTTTGCAGGTGACAGACTTGGTCAAGACCCAAAGGAGAAACTAAAATTATAATGCCACAAAGCACCACAAGTAACAGTATCTAACTTCGCATATATATAGATAGATATAGATACGTTTATAGGATAATCAGCACAATGTAAACTCCACGAATAGTTTAGTGAATGGACTGGCGAGGTGCACGGGGTCGAACAGGGGTCTTGGATGGGCTTACCCTGAAAAGGTGCAAATGTGCAAGAGATTACTTACTACATAACAAGACAAGTGTACACTGAACAAATTATAAACGTAATAGAGGATTATCAACCTTATCGGAAGTGAACCTAGGACAGCACCGCTGCAGTTCAAAGCTGCAATTGCACTCTCAGCCTGCCAAAGGGTAAAAAAAATATATTAAATGATATTATGAACCCAACCAACGGAAATCCTCTAACGAATGCAGATTCCTCCAGACCAAATAGAATGACGAACCACCCCACCCCACACCTTTAAGAACACAAGAAAAGACATAAAATGAAGATGAAAACGATGAGAAATGACCAATAGTTCTATCACCCATAAATAATCCATGAGAAGTTAAATAATCTATACGAGCTGGTTACTAGTAATCTTCTCGTGAGCAGAAATCACATATAAGATGCATCCGAAGTATGCATAAAAATGGTAGTGTGCACTTTTCACTGCCATGTTCGTCAACATCAAACTATTGGTCGATGAGGATTTACTCATTAAATATGTCTGGCAATAAATATTTTATTCTCAAGCAGAAAGAGGAAACATATCCATAACAGAGAGAAGAGTGGATGCAAGCAACCATTGCAACATAAGAAATATAAAGTAATGCTTAAACCCTAAAAGCAAGCTGAAAACAAAATATTAGAAGAAAAACAAAGTGCTCTCTTTAGCAATTCGTGCATCAAATATGCTTAAAATACACTCTCCGTTACACGGGTAAAAATGAAATGAAATAATTAAAAAGGTTGAATTTGCTGAATGAGCTTTTTGATGCGTCTAAAAATGGTTAAATATGCATCTGCTATGCAATAAATAGAAATAATAATAAAACTATCAGCAACCACAATAAACCAAGAAATCTAGAATTGACAAGTAAAAAAATTCAAAATCATCTCCATTGACCTCCATCCCTGAATTCCTTCACTTTTTAGTCTTCTTTCAGTAACAAGGTAAGATCTCATTGTTAATTAGTTAAGCTTTCAAATCAATTTTCAGTATCACCTAGAACTTGGAAGTACAAAGATTATATTTTCAGCACATATAATTTCTGATCTCAATAGATGTTGTAAAATCCTCGAACAGGAGGCAGTTAAGATTTGAGCAAAATCCAATAAGAAATTGAAGAGAAAATATAGCGATGATTAATGTATTTAATGCTCATCTGCGAAACATTAAATAGGTGATAGATTTTCCTATTAAAATTTTGAGCGAATTATGCATAAAATTAAGAAATTCAGTTAAAACTTAAAAAGGTTTACAACTGTAAACCTAAAATTATTTTGCCTAAAGCTAAAAGATCATTACAATGGCAAATTGCCCCAGTTGGGGATTTTTCAGTTCCAAGGTTTGCTAATGTTACTAGATGAAACAAGGATAGAATGACAACCAGGTCAAAGCAGATGTATCAGCAAATAGCAAAACTCATTCTGAATTCTTTGACGGAGGGAGAGAATAGAAGTGCCAAAAATTTATCGTCTTAAAATTTATGGTGCTCTCACTCTTGTACATCTTTTCAGTTAATAGCCATTTTTAGCATGAAGAAATATTAATGAATGATTGCATATCTGCAGTAAATATACAAAAGTTCATTTAGGAAACCTATTTAACCTCTATTGCACATTATCTGTTCCTGTAAAGCAACACGAGTGTTATGACCAAACAACCATATTAATAATTATTCAACGTGGAACATGTTCATTACACACACAAACCCCCAGAAAACACATCAGCCCTTTTTGAATTTGATAACTGAAAAAGAAGTCCTCTAATACCCAGAAAAAGTCAGGCAAGAGGAGCTGAGGACAAGAAGCAAGATTATACATCTCAAACAAATAAATAAAAAGGCAACTAACTGAAACGAGTTTCATAGGGCAAATATAGTTGGGAGAATTGACTCAAAAACAATAGAGGAGACAGGACTAAATTGAGTTGACACCATTGTGTGTAAACAAGGCAAGCAAATCATATGAGCGAAAATCCTGTGGCTCTTACCATTACAAACTCCACGAAAGCAATCCGTGTTGAATGATTGTAGTCACCGAGCAACCTCAAGCGGTGAACCTGTGTGGGATTACAGTTTCCATTACATGGAAATGGGAATTTAAATAGAAGAGTTACTTAAGAGTTGTTATACTCGGCTACAGACCTCTCCGCAGAAGGATTCAAAGAAGAGTTTGATGTCAGCTTGTGTAACCTTCAGAAAAACAAGCAAACAAATAACGCACACATGTTCCAATAAACTCAAATAACTACATGCAAAAAGTAAGGAAAATTCCAAAGGTACCTTTTTATCAATGTTTGTACAATAAATGGTTCTTGCGCACATCTCCCTTTCATCCTCAGACTGGAGTCAAAGAAAGAAAACAGTCATTACAGCTATATCCTTTAACTGATTTACTTAAGGAACGTAAATAAAGAATATAACAAATTTCTTACCCTAGGCAAGAATGTTGGATTAACAGGTGCAATTGCTGTTTTGGAAGGCAGAACTTTTAATGGATAATATCCAAGCATAATCCCCCCCAAACTCAAAGCATTTTGTGCTCCTTCTGCAAGTCATGTAAAAGACAGTGCACTGTAATGTCAAACAATCTTGGGATTCACCAGAATACAGAAACAGACTACAGACCAATGACATACCCTCGTCCGTGAATTCAATGAAGGCAAAACGGAGCACAGAATTAGGGTCACCACAAATGCGACAATCCACAACCTTAAGAGTGCATGTGGAGAATTGATACAAGAACATATAATTGAGTCATATATAAATTCTGATACCGAGATAGAATGGTGAGAGACTTTACCTGTCCGCAACTAACGAAAATTGCTGCAAGTTGCTCTTCAGTAACCTATATCCGCGGAAAAAGTATAAAGCAAGTTATAAACATGGTTTATCACTGACAAAACAAATCAAAATTAAATAACACAAGTGCGCAAACCCTAAATTCCATTTACCTGATGATCAATGTCAGATACATACACTGTCCTCCTAATCACTTCTTCTCTCTGTGCCAAGCTTGTTCGGCCATTCATCCTCGGCTCCCCATGACTATAGCCATTTTTCTTCTGTTTTATATCATGACAACACCAAAACCATCAGAAAAACCAAAATCCTAGTCTTTATTTCTCTTTTTTTCTAAAGAAAAAATGAACTTTGACAAATACGAAAGTAATGAAGTTGCTGCTTACTCTATCACATCCAAATAAACTGAAGTAACGAAGATGATAAATATATTACCATACCTAATCTTCTGCTAGAATCCAATAAAAGATCATTGTGTTGAAGAAATGGAAAAATCATAAAATGCAAACCTTTCTTATAGAGTTGCCAATAGGAGCTCCAGAGTTGAGATGCTGCTGCATTAGAAACCCGTTAGCGTTATACCCAAAGATCCCAGCGGCCGCACTAGCAGCATGTGGCGGTGACACCACCAGCCTGCGGTTGCGACCGCCATTGGATTTGACAGTAAGCGAAGGTGGAACAAATTCCTTGGCCATTGGGTTCAATTTAGACAGCATTTCCTCTAAATCCCTCATCTCCCTCTTAAATCCCTCGTGTCCATCATCATCCCCGTCATTTATATTCTCTTCACCCTCGTTAGTACTGTTAGGGTAAACTTCGGGGGCTCGATTGCCGTTGATACTCTGCTGCCGCTGGTGATGGCCGTTGGATTGCGGAGAAGAAATTTTCTGCTGCATCACGTTGTAATTCTGATCGTTCAGTTTCGTTGACTTCTGATTAACAGCGGCCTTTGTTGACTGCTGATTGAGACTATGACGATCCACGGCAACGTCAGCATTCCGGTCGGGTTGATTCGAAGAGATCATCGTGTTTACCCTGGCATTTTCCATCACCGCCATGATCAAAAACCTCACTCGCACTTCAAAAAATTCAAAAAAAAATAATAATAATAATAAAATCTTTCTCCGGATATGGGTCTGCATAAATTATTAGAAAGAAAACAAAAAAAAATTCAGTATATCAGATCAATCTGGAAAATAACTTATTTTTTAACATAAATTGAAATTTGTACCTGATTAAGTGGGTCTAAATGGCGTCCATTGAGCAAAGATCGTGAAGATCTTGGGCTAAGATAATCAGGAAAAAGAAAAAGGGTACGCAAATAGAGCAAAAAAAACTTTTCTTTTTCGTTTATCTTTCTTTTATTTTATAGAATATTTTACCCAGTCTGCAAAGAGAAGATATGTGCGAAATGAAAATGCTACTATGCTCCGTTTTGTAGAGAAAAGTCTAGCTTATAGAGAGATAAAATAGGGTCCGATTTCAATCGGATAATCCGCACCCGGCCTACCAAGTGCCATTTTCATTTGATTGTAATTATGGCTGCATAATTGCGTGCACTCGTGGAGCTTCCATGAATTTTTACTTATTTTTTCTTTTAATAAATTAAATTGTTATAATTTTGACAAAATAATCAATAATCGATGTGTAATTTATCATGATTAAGTTGACAATTCGTACATCAAATATGAAGTACTTTTATCCGATTGAAATATGTATTTGATAGATGATTGTCGAAAATAAATATTTATCGATTCATGTCAATGTACAATAGTAATACGATAAATCGATTGACAAACCCCAGCATCTAGTAACTACTAGATCACCTGAAGAGCTCCTTGACATCCAGGGTGACAGACCAATCGTAAAGTCACATTCAATAAGTGGAACACATTAACTGTTTATTCGTAAATTGAAAAATAAGAATAAGAGATGGACAATCGCTCAATAATAATATTTATTGCATGTGATATGAGTTTTTATAAAGCGGCAAACGCGCATTAATCATTAATCATCGACCATGTTATGTTTTTTCTTATTTTTTATTAGTCGACGATTATCTTATTGCAGAGCATGTGTCTATTCATCTTTCTGATCAACAAACTTTATTAATCAACAATCATTTTATTATAAAGAACGAGTCAATTATCTTTCTAACCTACATAGTCTAAAAAAACAGTGTTGCTATACTTACATCGCGATTGATAACTTTGTTTACAAATTTTGACATGACGCAATTTTACCATTGATTTCAACAATATTTATTTAAATCAACGGCCTCGATTTTGACATCTTAAAGGGAATCAAACTATCTGTACACCATGATCAATTCTTAAAAAAGAAATAGTTTCATCAATAATTACGAGAAAATATAGCCTATGTTTGAGTCCCATTTTTTGGAAAAATATACTTCGGAATAGTAATTTTTTTGATAATATGTAAAATATGAAATAATTTCAAATTTATGTGTAAAATTATTTTATAAAAAAATGTATGATTGAAAATAAATTTTGAAAAGGTGAATTTTGAGAAAGATGAGGCTCAACTAGGGACATGAATACTCCAAATAAGTTATTTATTTCGTTATGAATTCACCAAAAATTGTTGAAGAATAACCAATTCATCATTAGATGAGTACTTTGTACAATCAAGGTATTGTACCATTGTACAAACTTGGTGCTACTTATCCGCCACGTGTCCTGCCTTACGTACAACGCTTGGTGACATTAAAATATACTCACGGGTCAAGTAATCCACACCACAGCGATGTCGTTTCGCGCACGTTTTTTAAAAATTAATTAAGAAATTAAAAAATAAAAATATTGTTTTCTGTGGCAGCTGACACCTCGTTTTATTCGTGCTTCCTTGATTTTGTTTTTATTTTTCTAATTAATGAAATACGATAAAATTACCTAAAATAATAGGTAATAGAAAACGAAAATACAATCAATCCAATAAATATCTTCCGAGGAAGAGATGGTTAAGGACATTAAAAAGGTGAACTTGTGGGTCAGGACATTTTATCCTTCATGTTCGATCTTTCGGAGTGAAATGATCTTTATATTCTACGAATTTGTCTGTCTATCTTTGTATGTTTATTTTCCAAAAATCATAATCAATGACTCAATAAACACGATCTTAATGGATGACACGTTTCTTGAAATTATTGGTTTTGTCGTGTCAGCAATGCAAGTCAAACTTCTATATATTGTCCAACGTCATGTTGATAAACTTGATCCACGTCTATTATTACCTCTTACACACGTAATCCCTTTTAACGATTCCCTTCTTTTGATTTTGGTAACTGCATATATACACGAGGCTCATTGACTCAAAATCCAAACATGATAAAGCCCCAATCTCTAGTAATTGTGTGTTGTAAATACTTGTAATGTCATAAGGTAACTACCTCAATATCAAAATACTTATTAGTAGTCAAGAAGGGCAAGAGTTTTACTTCCCAACTCTCAACATCAATAGATTATGCCCTACTATAAATATCAGCTAAATTTAAAAGGTAAATCAAATTATATATTTTTTAGAACATAAAATAAATATTTGAACCGAATTATTAACTTAAAGCGTGTTCAGGAAATGTTTATAAATAAATAAAAATAAGTGATGAATAAGTGTATAGTATTTTCGAATCTCGCGAAATGTATGAATAAGACAGTGTTTTATAAACACGAGCCAAACATAAGTTTAGACTTCTAAAAAAGTAAGTTGAAAAGCTCTCAAATTTTTATTGCAATATTTATGGGGGAAATAATGATATTCATTATTAACTATTATAATCATCATTCATTAAGTTTAGGTGACAGTTGATCCTGTAATCCATTATTCATGAACAAGTTTAGATGACGATGAACCTTCTCATTCATTGTCATGGTCTCAATGATAATCATAATTAGCCTTTGTTTGATCACATTATTTTCAAAATAAATTTTTCTTTTTTTTTTCTTTCCAATCACATATTTTTTCAATAAAATAATATTACACGCAAATTCAAATTTTTTCCTTATTTTTCAATCGTACATTCTCCATCAATCTAATATTCGAAAATATATTTTTAGGAAAAAATGGGGACTCGAAGAGGCCCTTAATGTCGAATATCATTACTCTATCGTTTAAATTGAAAAGGAAAAGTAGATACAAAATTCAACCTATCCACTTCTAGAAGAAAACAAGAACAATAATTGCAATTACAAGACCCGTATACAAAAAATGGAAGAAAATTTGTCTATTTAATTTTTAGTGGTCAATATTTTTATTTCAAATTATTTTTAATATTTAAAACTCGAGAAAAAGACATAATCCTATGTTTGACTTAACCCATTTTGAGCCACATTATTTTTCTTATTCTCATTCTTCTACTCATTTTCAACTACATATTCTTCAATAAAATAACATTTTTTCTTAATCACATCAATAACTTTTTTTTTTTCCAACCACATATTCTCAATCACATCAACTGTAAAAATGCATTCTTACTTTCAAAATGTGCATCAAATAGGAGCTTAAAACTCAAACATCCACAGCGAAGTTAAATTGCATTTTCTTTTCGTTAAAATGTGTTAGAAAAAGAAATAATATTATTCATTTAAAATTTTGAATGAAAATTTTAAATTATTGAGATATTATTCATATTTCAATTTCAACACGTTCATTAATTTGGTGGAACCTAATTATTGACCAATAAAATCAACACCAAATTCAGGATCAGTGGACCCCACTTGAATTATTATCACAAAGTTTTCCACCTCACCCTTGTTACAAAGGGTTATTTTCATTTTTGGTCATTGAACTTTCAGTGGAATCTCAATTGACTCAAACTTAAGTTTATTTTAAATAGATCGATGGAATTCGATTTAACTTTTAATGCTAGGGAGTAATGAAATCAATGTCAAAATCCTATGTGAACGAAAAACTTTAACAACAACTTGACACGTCTTACATTTTCAGATAAATGTCACCTAATTTTTGTCGTAAACGTATACTTTTCAAATAAATTGTGTTGTAAAATCGACAATGATACACCAAACGAGATATGTTGAGTGCTCTATTCATTACCAATTATAAGATTTTACCATGATGACATGACATGTTTACCAGGAAACTGGGGCTAACGAATGATCGAGACGTTACGTTTCATGATGAAAGATAATGTGGTGATTAAAATTGGAAGTAAACCCGTGTTTGATCTTCATTTTCTTCAAAATACATTTTATCTCCATTCTTTTCAATCACACATTCTTTATTAAAATAATATTACAAGCAAATTCAAAACTTTTTCATTATTTTTTAATTACACATTCTCTATTAATCTATTATTTCAAATTACATTTCACACAAAAATTGGAACTCAAATAGACCCTAAATCGAAGTCCGTAATTCTATTGGGACAAATTAAAGTTTGATGAACTAAATGAGATTTTACTGAAAGTTTAGACTTCGTTTGGAAAGAATTTATTAATAAATATAGCCCCTTTTTTACAATCATTATTTGGGCAAAACAAAATTTTGAGTATTGATTTTTAGGAGAATATGTGGTTAGAAAGTATATCAAAATTTTGGATTTACGTTCAAAATATTTTATTGTATAAGTGTATGGTTGAAAATGAGTATATAGAAAAAATAGTTTTTAAATAATGATTATCAAACAGATCCATAAGTAAATAGAACATATGGATCCATTAAAATATGTGATTGAGAATAAAATTTGATTATTTATAAATAATTTATAAATTCGGTAAATAGAGGCCCTAGTGACAGAAAATGAAATTCAAAGGAACGGTAGGGGCAGTTTCAATTTTCAAACAAGGTTTGCAATAACAAGTGTTGACATCAACAGAGAATATTCTATGTTGTGAAGAAAGTCATATTCTTTGTTCGATGCCAGATGATATGATAAAATTTTTATATAATCATATTTTGAGGCATATTGAACAGATAAATTTTATAAAATATGATTTCTACTAAAACAAATGTGCCATGACAATATATTTAAAATATTTAAATGTTTGATACATAATCAAAAATAATATAAAACATAATAAACGATATTTATTTTAATAATTATGCAGTATGTATGGTTAATAAAATCTTATGTTGTTAAACTGTCAATTTAATGTTAACAATATTTTTTGTTAATGATCAAAAAGTCAAGAATTACGTAGTAAAAATTTGGGATGGACATTTGTGACAAATTTTTAAACAAAACCACTTCAATTTCAAAACCAAACCAATCGAAGCTACTTTTTTAGGTTTGATTCGATTTAAAATCACGGTTTAATAAAGATAAAACATAATATATATTGAATACGGTAAATCATAAATATTAGTTTAAAATTTCACGTTAAAACATAAAAAGTTTCATTAAAAATATTACAAGTAAAAGTTTTATAATTCTAATCATTTTAATGCAACTAGGGGTGGGCAAAAACCGATCGAACCCGAACCAACCCAACCGGGTTGGGTCGGTTTTTTTCCATTTTTTTGGTGGGTTCGGTTTCTGGACAAGAAGAGCGGGTTGGTCGGGTTGGGTTGCAGGTTAACCCATAAGACCCGAAAAAAACCACTCAACCCAACCCGCCAAAAAAAAAAGGTTTGATTCACAACCGAAGTCCTCTCCCTCTTTAACAACAGCAGGCCCAACCCAACAACACACAACCCAAACCTAAATCCCCTCCCTCTTCAACAGCAGGACTCCATTCCATTCACATTTCACACGATTCACTCATGACTCAACCCTAATTCCCTCCCTCTTCAAAATCAACAGTAGTCGCCACTCGCCCTTCGATGACGTCGTCGTCGTCTTCCTCTTCTCTCTTTCCCACCAAAGATAT